CACACACACACACACACACACACACACACACACACACACACACACACCCTCAGCTGCTCCCAAAGCTTTCCTCCTTCTCAAGCCCATTCTTTTCCCTTCAGGTCACTGGCTCAGAGGGTATCAGGACTGCAGAGCGAAGCATGGCAACTAGTCCATCTTCACATCACAGGCTGAGAAACTGAGGCCCGGCCCGTGGTATTTGAACTTATAATCACTCAGCTAATAGGTGTCAAAGGCCCAGTTATAGAAGCATGGTGCGTTCCCACCACAGAGGGGCTGGCTACCTGGAAACTGTCTTCTGTGTGGTACTTGTGAGCCTTTTCCCCTCAGAGTGAGGCCCCACTCACTCTGAGCTCAACACTGAGCAAACCAAGGTGACATGGACATTTCTGAAATCCTCTGGCCCTGGGTTTAGCTTTAGCTTTAGGGTAGGAGCTGTGCAAGTAAGCTGGGGCTCATAGGGACCCTGGAGATCACCCCTGCAAACCCCTTCATCATCAGCTTTGCCTCTGAAGGGGACATTCCTGAAATCCTCTGGCCCTGGCTTTAGCAGCGTAGGAGCTGTGCAAGTAAGCTGGGGCTCACAGGGACCCTGGAGATCACCCCTGAAAACCCCTTCATCATCAGCTTTGCCTCTGAAGGCTAAAGTTCCAGGGGTGGTGGGAGGGGAAGGAGGAGGGCAAGCTCATTGGCAAACTCAGCAGCGCTAGCCTTTGGGAGTCTGACTGTGGACTGCTGGGACGCCAAGCAGGCTCTGGGATCCAGTGGTGGCTAGCTGGCTCATGAATGTAGACTGGGACCCTGTGGACTCCAGGCCTCCAGGAACTCCCGACAGACAAAGCAGGTACACTGCAGAACTGAGCAGGAGCTGGGGGAGGGGCGCTCCCAGGGGAGCTGGCCTGACTAGGGGCAGATGGAGGGAAGTTGGGGCTGAAACTTTTGGGAGGAAGAAGCAAATTTCATAGGGAGGAAAGGAGGAGCTGGGTGTGTGTGTGTGTGTGTGTGTGTGTGTGTGTTAGAGACAGACTGAGGCAAAAAACGGTTGGAGAGGTGAGGCATGATGGGCTAGGCCATGGTAAAGTGCTTGCCTTGCAGAGAGGCCCTGGAATTTGATCCTTAGCATCCACATAAAAATGATGGGTATGATGGCATGCACCAGTAATCCTAGCACTGGGGAGGCAGAGGTGGGCGATCCCTGCAAACCTGGTTCAATTGTGAGCTTCAGGCCAATGACAGGCACTGTCATGGGGGTGGGCAGCAGGGCTGACAGTGACACCTGAAATTGCAAACACCTATACACACATGAACACACACACAGACAGGGAGGAGAGAGATGCACGCATGCACATTCACATAAGAAAGGAAAGACATAACAGGCATAACCGCTTACACATGTAATCCTAGCACTCAGGAGGCAGTCAGGAGGAGTGATGCAAGTTCAAGGCCAGCCCGAGGAACCAATTTTATAAATAAAGTAAGGATGAGAGGAGATAGAAATACGTTTGGGAACAAAGAAGGAGACCACCACTCCAACTGAAGGGTCTGGACAAAGCAAACTACTTTTGATCAAGAGGGTGAGCTCAGAAGATCAAACACACTGAGACAGGAAGTGCATTGGTTTTTATTCTAATCAGGTGATGGCTGTGTCTTCCTCCTTTGGCTGGGGTCTGACCTCACAGTCTTAATTCAATTGGCTAGTCTGAAAAGAACTGGCACACTGGAAATAATGGAAGGGGAAGAAGTCACGTGCTCCAGGCCATCACATTCCTGGAATACAGCAGCCGGCCTTTGTGTAAACAAAGGTTTTACTGCATAGTGTGTATGGGACATTAAAACATTTGCCTAGAAGTCTTACAAGGTGGGGAAGATAAAAAGACTTGAATTATTTGTCATAAATACAAGTTTTGTAGTGTTTGACAGAGAAGACTCATATCTGGCATTTCTTACAGAGGGGAGGAGGGAGAGACAGAAAGATGGAGACAAAGAGTGCTAATGTTCTGGATGGAGGGACTGATGGACAGGGACAGCCAGCCAGGTAGGACAATGAGAGGGAAAACAAGTTTACTATTAGAGATGGACAGAAGGTGAGCGGACAAGCTGCTGAGAGCTATGGCCCAGGCTGGCCACTTGCGTTAGTCAACTGAAGGGCTCTTCCCCTTATCCCAGTGTGGGTCTCCTAACTCTAGAGTGGAGCAAGCCCAAGTTATAGGAAGGGAGGTTCCCAGGGATGGAGCAGTGTTCTGTAAGGGGAATGGAGATGGGGAGGTATTGGGTAGGAATCTCTGACCTAATTTCTCCCTCATTTACTGACCTGCCACATTATGTGATCTCTGTGGTTAACTCTCCTTTGGCTGTGATAGATCATGGAACCACATGATAGACTATTCACATTATGGTCTAGCCTCAGCTTAGCCTCCATCTTTGCAGCTTACTGCTCTGTTCTACTTAACTCATGATGTTTGCCTTATAGTCCCAGAAGACTTTTTGAGATCCAGCTTTTTTAGCCTCTCTTAAGAGTTATGCTCAATAGACTAATAGTCTTAGGGTTGCATCTAGCTGCAAGGGAGTCTGGGGATCAAACAACACTGGCTGAGAGTGGAGTCCCCTCAATGCAGCTACATGCTGCCCCCAGCTTCTCACCTACATAAAGCTTCAGCACATCCTTACACTTTCCTTTTACTTATTAAAAGATTAAACATGTGGGAAAAGTTTAAAGCGTTCATTTTCAACCAGTAAAACCTTCTGTTAGGTTCACCCCTCCCCCATGCGTTGAAGGTGAAGCATGCAGGAAGAAAAAAGAACAAGAAAGCTCCCCCCCCCCGCAGTCATCTGCTTCCCAGGCACCATTTAGGACACATGACACCAATATGTGGATATCCTCTGACACCTGAACTGGCATGTCTGATGGCTGGTAACTCTTTTTACAAATGGTTTGCTTGGTGGTCAGTGGAAGACAGTCAGTGCCTCCCCTGTTGGGACTGTTACCTCTCCTGTGTTAAAGAAAAAAAAAATCCTATATTCAACCTAAGGGAGACCTTTAGGTAAAGGAGAAGGAAATGGGGGCATAACTGTTCCTTAGTGAGACCTGTCTTTCTACACCTCAAAGCCCCACCCCCCTCCATGCTGAAGTTCAGACTCACAGCTGAACCTTTTGGCTTTCTGATCTCTAAATTCTCAACACCCAGCCTCTCTACTCCCTCCTCTTCCCCCACCCCCCACTCCCACCCCCAGCTGCTAAGATCAGGCTTTCAGGCTCTGTTGTTGAGGGAACCCTCTTTCTCCCTGATTTTAACAAATAGTCCTCAAGTTCCCTCTGTGTCTTTTTAAAAATTCCTTTATCCAGGAGACCAAGAGCCTGCCTGTATCACATGGCAACAGTGGACCACTCTGAACAGTTTGCTGTATGCCTGCCAGATTCACCTTTTATGACCTCAACCAAATACACTGGTGATTTCCGCATGGCTCTGTCACTGACTACTGGGCAGCGTGTCTTGGAATCTGCCGTATTGGGAAGAACATTCTTCATCACAGTGAAATTGTCCATTACTGTAGACTATCAAAGCATTATGATGGATACCGGGCTCATTGCTTTTAGTTTAGTTTAGTTTTCTGTATTGTAAACAGTGTTGGGCTTCTTGTCTGCATATCTGCGAAAGCTGCTTCACAGTCCCTGAAAGTAAGGCCGGCAAAGTCGATTCTTTTGGCAGATGGCTTAATCCTGTCTACCTACCAACAGGTCTCCCTAAGAAGGAGCTATCAGCACCCAGTCCCAGCCTTGGGCTGTTTGTGTTCCTTCTCTACCTCTCTCCTGCTAGGCAGCTGTGTACCTCACCCTTGGGTATCGTCCACACTCCTGCTCTCTTCTCCTAGGGCCACTGAGAGCCTATTTTCCCCAGGCCACCCACCCTGACTGACTGTGACAACTTTCATTTTTAAGTTCTCTAGGTCTTCCTCCTGAGAAGCAGGACTCTTTCTTGTCCTAGCTCTCATCTGTTCTTTCCTTACTCAACCTGCCACAGGAAAGGGATTGGCAACTCCTAGGCACTTTTTTCTGGGCCCCAGGCAGCTGCTTCCCTGCAGGGCACCCTTTTAAGATAAGTATAGTGAGCGGGGTACAAGTACTGGGGATCTGGTGGTGTCCCCATTGCCTTGGGAGTGTGTAGAAATGTGCTAGGATGACAAGAGTGACACAGAGCTGCAGCCTCTTTGTGGTGTGTGGAAGAGGAGGGTCTCTTTGGCTTCCCCTTAGAATGGCTCAACCAGAAATTCCAGCTCCATCAAAGTGTGGTCCCCCTCCTCCCTACCCCGTGGTTAGGGCCCTCAGCCCAGCTGGGCAGCAGCAGGACGCTGATCAGTTATTAAAAGCTGAGCTGGTGGCTGGGCTCAGTACAATTCATCAGGCGATGGCCTCCTGGGAGTGATGGATGATGACAAATGAGGGTAGGTGGGAGGGGGGTCCCTGAGCTACCCATGGCTGCAGCTGGGGAAACTCAGCCATCAAAGCCCTGGTTTTTCCAGTGGAGGTGATTCTGAGGGCCAAGGGGATCAAGTTTCGGGCAAATGGTTTAGGGGCGGAGAAACTCCAACACAGGAGACTTGCTGCCTTGTGTGTTGTGTGGGGCCCCAGCAGCTCAGGGGCACAGAGCTGAGCTGGACAGAAGGGGTTGGCCCCTCTGATCCCAGCACTGCAGGAAAGAGGTCTGGGGGCATGAAGGGGCGGGTATGTCTAGGGCTGGGAAGGGGCTGCTTTCTGGGAGATCAAACAGTGGCTCTTAAGGCAGGTGTGGGGACCCTGCTCCGGAGAGCTACTGTGGTCTCACAACCAGCTAGTCTCAGGGATCCCAGCTCTAGCAGGGCTGAGACTCAGCAAAGGAGGCTCTAGTTGGCCAGGAGAACTCTGTGCCTCCCCAGATCAGTCGAGGAAGTGGAAGAGGTACAGAAGGGGAAGTCAAGGAAGCTTTCAAGGTGAAGTGGGCTGGAGCCAAGCTGGTTGGAGGGGTAGAACCAGGGTGGGGCCATTCTCTTCGGGAGGGACCAGATTGCAACCGTTGGCATGGCAGGGGACTGGGAAGTGAATGGGAGCTTGAAGACAGAGAAAGCGAGAGCAAGACCATGTCACAAAAGTCACTTCAGAGCAGGACCCAATTTCTGTCCTGTGGCAGGCAGGAGATCTGCCAGCACAAAGCTCTAAGCCTGCTTCTCAAGGCCTCACCGTGGTGGTGTCACCCAGGGAGGACATAAGGCAGAGCAGACTCCTATGCCCTTACAGCTGTGCAGTCTTCATGGTATTTGTGTCACTCCAAATCTGAAGCCTGTGTAGCACTAGATGCCACCAGCATTGTCTCGCCTGAAGGGAGGTTCATTATTTCCTCAGAGTAAGAAAGTTGTCTTTGCCCTGAGCAGACTGAGCTCTCCATCATCGTCCATGGTCTGCCCCAACCTTCCTCTCCTTCTGGGAGAGGGAGGGCAGGCCCCTCCGCTGGAGGGGCCCCACCTTACCTCAACCTAGCAAGAGGTGCTGCAGGTGAGGAGGCACAGAATTCCAGGGAGGCATCCCCTGGTGCTCTGACCCTCCTGTCTGGCAGAGGAAGAAAGAGATAAAGAACACCCACACTTACCTTCTTTCAAGCTTGGCAACCAACAGGTCTGCTTCTCAGCTCACTCTGTGGAGCCAAGATAGTTTGGCCCCTGTGTGTGCTGCGTGTTCTGGGTTTGTTTGATGTGTGTGTGTGTGTGTGTGTGTGTGTGTGTGTGTGTGTGTGTTATGTACATCTGTACAGATGGGCAGACCCCCAATGCTCTGCTTTCTTGGGGCTGCAGAAGCCTTTCTGCTTACTTGCACGATCTCTGGCGGTGTGGACATCAGCCAGCTCCATAATAGAATGAAGTACCCCATGGGCCCCGTATCTTTCTGTGGGATTGGGGTGTAGCTGAGTTTTGGGTGCTGTAGGACTTGGAGCATGTTGCTGGGTTTAGAGTCCAAGGCTGGGATAGGAGGGTGGCAGGTGATGGGGGTCTGTGGGCTCTGGCTGCTGCTCAGTGGGATTTTACCTTCTTCCTATCCTCCCAGGCTGAAGTCCTAGGTATGTTTGTTTGTTTTCAGTGAGTCTGTGTGCCTGTGAGTTTCTGAGGGCCCCTACGGGAAGTATTGGTGTTCTGGGGTTTCTTGTGGAGTTCCTAACATGTAAGAGATATTGCTGAGATCTTGGCAGGCCCTTAGAGTTCGGGGGTCCTTTCGGGGTTCTCAGGGTGCTGCTGCCCTCATTCCTTGAAGGTTGCTGTTGGCTCCTTCTGAGCTTAGCACTTTGTCCTTTGAAGATTTTGATAACCACAGGCACCCACGTGGGCCTCTATTCCTGGACACAAACATTCCTCAGGTTTAATCAACTTGAACAAAAACACCAAGAGGAAGGAAGCCTTAACCCAAAGCTTTCAAGGACCAGCTCCATTCCAAGGTTTCTCCCCACCACGCCCAGATGGACAATGGACTTACCTGGATGAGGTCTTGGCACTCTGGCATCAGTCTCATCTCAGTCACCAGGGCTCATACAGGCTATAGAGGAGGGTGCTCTACCCTCCCTCGCTCTGTGCTCTTTTTGTCTCTTGCATTCCCTTTCTTAGCTTCCTAAGACACTTTGTTCTTGAGGCCATGCCTAGACTGACGTCTCTGACCTCAGGGCTCTATTCCAGATCCCCTCAGCCAGGAAGCTCCCAAGATGGCTTTTTCCTCCCTTCCTCTCCATTCTCCTCTGGTCTCTACAGTTCTTTCTTCCAATTGTTTCTTCTCTCCAGCACCGTATCCTGAGGGCAGAATAGCTGCTGCTGTTCTGAGTGCACGGGCCGCTAGGGAGCCAGCTCCTAGGAGCCTATTGCCCAGGACTTTGCAGAAATCCTTCAAGGGCACATCTTAGCACCCTAGGCTTCCAGCCATTCTCCTTATCAGCTTGCCTGCGTGGCTAGATGATTTTTTTTTTTTTTTAATTTCTCAGCGCAGTCCTCTGGTTTGCAGGTGGGAGGACCACTCTGTTCTTGTTTCAGGCTGAGGAAGAACCTTTGGTTTAAGAAGTGGGTTTGTCTTTAGCTTGAGGCACATGGTCACCCATTACCCATTGATTTTCCCCCGGCCCCACCGGAGTAGAACCAGAGGATAGATAGAAGGCGTGGGGCGGGGGCCTGCTGACTAGCCACAGCCAGGCTCTGTGGCTTTGATATGTTTTGATATGCTTGCTACAACAAAGTCTAGTGTGGTGCCTCCACATTCTCAGGCCATGAAGTCACTGAAGACAGTCTTGGGGGAGAAGCCACAATAGAAGAATCTGTAGGCTGGGTGCCGCAGAGGTGGGGCTAAGGCCCAAGGGGTTAAAGCTCCACTCAAGGCCGCAGGGGCAGAAGCAACACTTGAGCACAGCTAGACTGCCTCTCGTGAAACTTTCCTGCCCGCTGCCATGTGGGAACCTGTCCTGCTTCTTCTGCCAGTGCTGCTCTGACGCAGGCCCTGACCCGAATGCCGATTCTGGGTGCATGCCAATAGAGAAAGACCAAGTTCATACTTTACTTATCCCTGCCAGAAAGGTAGGGCTGCCAGCAAGGTGGCCGCTGTGCCTCCCTAGGGAAAAGGGAGGTGGTATTTTGAGATATGGACAGCAATTACAGAAAGTTCTCTTGGGGGGCAGATTTGGTACAGAGAGGTGGGGTAGCGACCATGCCTGGCTTTGGCAAGGGGCTATCTACATGAGTTCATCTTTGAGTAGACAGAGGCTTCTTCAGGCAGCCTGATATGGTCCCTATCCCCCCCCCCCCCTTCTGGTTTAGTCTGTGTAGAGCTAGCTGGCTCCTCACTGCCTGTCTCTCTCTTTCCTTTCCCTACTGTGTTTTCTGTTCAGCTCTGATGGTTCATGGTAAACTGTCCCTTTCTACCTCTCTGTGTTAAATCTCATGAGATGACCCTACGTCATCAGCATGATGACAGAACTATCACATAAGACATTGGAATGAGTGAATTAACAAGACTTGGGAGGTAGCAGGGAATGCCTCTAAGATAGGACAAGGTTGGAGGTAGAGGTATCCAACCAGGAGCGTCTGTCTTGTTCAGGCAGCTGGCCACCATCTAGTACCAAGTTCTCTTTGTTAAAGGTATCACACAGGGGCCGACTGCTCTCTAGGCTGAGTGTCTATGACCCTTGAGAGGTGAAGGGCATGCTAGGCTCTGTCACTGGAGCAGAGGGCTCAAGCAAGCTTGGCACATAGCAACCTATGACACAGGACCATGAGTAAAGAAGAGCCACTAAAGCAAGGAGTGTTTTTGCCAGCCAGTTCCTACAGTCTGTGATCTCGGAGCCAGGCACTGTCCTAAGGGAGAGAGAGAGAGCAGGGGAGGGAGAGAGAGAGGTAGGGCCCTGTCCCCGGGGAGCTGACTGAAGGCCTGAGGGGCAGCATCTGCCTCAACCCTGAGATCAGACAGTTCGGTGTTGGCTCCTGAGCTGTGTCTGAGAAAGCTCCAGCTCAGCAATTCCTCTGTGGGATGAGTAGGAAGCCAGAGCCTTCTTCCAGGAAGACAGGACATTTGGGAAGGAGACAGTGAAGGTTCACAGGATAGTTAGGCCCTATCCCCCGCTAGCGGCGCAGAGGGGAGCTTGTGAGGCTGACGCTCTGTCTACCCTGGGCATTCACTCTGGAGCTTCCTTCTATAGAGAACAAGAAAGCTCCTCTTGGCTGTGTGGTGACTAGCTGGTGTCTTTCAGAGCTCCCCAAAGGTGATTTTCCTCAGGAATCCTCCTTACTCCCACAGCTCGCCTATGCCTCCCCGCCGCGACCCTTAGGGTCTGAAGGTTTTTTTAATGTATTTTAGTAGGCTAAGTCCCCTGAACCGTGCTTCCTCTAGTCCCAGAATCCATAGCAGTACTGGAACCTAGTAGGTGGTTAGTAAGTTTCTGTTTGAAAGAATAAACAAATGAATGTGTCTTTAAAAGGTGGTGGGGGGTTCAGGGGTAAAGGTGTTTGCCACCAGGGCCCAGTGACCTGTGTTCTGTCCTCAGTGTTTTGTCCTCCCCAGGACCCACATGATGGAGACAGAGAGACTCAATTCTTGTAAGTTGTCTTCTGCCGTGGCATATGCTGAGCCCTCAACTACACACACACACACATACACACACACACACACACACACACACACACACACACACACACACACTAAATAAATAAATAAATAAATAAATAAATAAATAAATAAATAAATAAATAAATAAACATAATAAAAATGCTTTTAAAGCCTATCTGGGCAAGGCTGTGGCCCAAGTCCCCTGTGGAGTACTGAGGATTGAGAGCCTCTGAGTGTCAGGTTGAGCTGAGAAGGGCTCTCTGCTTTGTCTGCCTCTTGCTCCTCCCTACAGGCTGGGTCAGGGAAGGGAGGGGGCAGCCAGGGGTCCAGTTCCTCTGGGAGGATAGGAAAACCCTCACCCCTTCGCCAGGGCTGTAGCAAGAACGGCAGCAGGCAGGCGAGGTTCATCTTCTCACAGGTCTGGTTTGAGTTTGAAGGACTCATTTCCGCCTGTGGGGGTGAGTTATCTTCTTGTGAAATCAAGTCTTAAGAACAAAAAGGTTTTACTAGTGCGACACGTGTGTTCTCCCTCATACATACTTAGGAGACCATGTGGCTAGGTTCCCTCCCTGCCTCTGTGGCCAGCCCCAGGAGGGTGTTTCCCTAAATGCCACGATGCTGGCTTCTGCAGAGGGGCTTTGCCTACGAGGGAGAGCTTGGGGCAGGTGCTAGAGGTAGACATGGTTAGCAGCCTTCCATCTGTGGGGTCTCATCAAGAATTATGGTGTGTTCCCAGCACTGAGGCTGAAAAGGTAAAGGGGCTGGCCAGGGCAAAGGGGAGCCTGGGGGGATGGTCTCAAGGGAGCTTTGGCAAAACGGGGAGGGCTTGGGCTGGACCCCAGAGCTAGAGGGGTGGGGAGCCCAGCTGTGGGACAGACCAAGTGGAGCCGGCCACAGCCCGCCCACCCTTTCATCTCTGCGGCTCCTTCCTCCTTGGTCCCCCTTTCTATTCTGTCCGTGGGTCCATCTGGGTGGGCTTGAGGCAGGGAAGGAAGGGGTCTCTATGGGCAGTTTGCACGAGGGAAATTTTGGAAAGTGGCAACAGGTCAGTTGGCCCACTAGGTGCCCCAGCGAGAACCTGAAACTCCGGGGATGCAGGAGAATACTGTCAGACCAAGCAAGATTGGGAGGGAAAGTTCAAGAGGAGACTCCTTTGTGCACTCCCTTTCCCAGCCCTCCCCTGACCTGCAGTCCCAGACAACTTTTCCCAGAGAGCTAAAAGCAAAAAAGTAACCTTTAGGATTAAAAAGAAACGTCCCTTTGTTTCAGGGTTTCTTTCTTTCTTTCTTTCTTTCTTTCTTTCTTTCTTTCTTTCTTT